GTTCTACATTTTTAACTACCCCCGTATTCAGATGTATTTGGGAGGAATTTCTTCTTCCCGGAGCAGCTAACCTTGAATTTTTCCAGTGCCCCTCCCAAGTTTAACGCTTGCGGTTTTTGTTTCTTCCTTCCGTTGCTTATGCCTTTTTGGAATTCATTTCTCTTTGGCGAAAATTCTTTCTAGCGGTTAAATCTCTGCTACTGTCGTTAGTCCGATTTAGGCGTGCGGAAATTTTTGTAGTTTTACCAGGTACGTCTGCGTACGTTCGTTGTTTGAACTGCGGCGAGTTTCGTATTTTTTAACCAGCTCGAATATAGTTTCCTGAGGTTGACGGATTCCTTATTTCTATAAAGTCTTGCGCTAGTTGGAGTAACCCCGGCAAGATTACTTGAATTACTTAATCGTCAGGATTTTTTTTCCATACAGTAGTTTAACCACTTGGATTTTACATAGAATGAGGCTTGTGAGATCTTCCCCGTTCATTTGATACCGGCTGTACAGTTCGGTTTCTAACCACGCACGTTCCTTTACGACCGGCAAGGCTTTTGAAAGGGGGGTTTTGAAGCTTTGATATGTGTACGTTGGCGTGCCTGGCTCTCCAAGTAAAAATTTGTCGATGCCTTTATACCAGCTCAAGGCTTGTCCTCGAAGAACTGAAGTTGAAACTGCCCCGTTTTGGATTTCGTCCACTGGGTACAAAATGAAGTACTCGTTCAGTTGGTCTATAAATGTTGCTGCTGAACCTTTTCCATCAAATAGGCACTGGGGCCTCATTGAAGCTGTCATAGGGTTGACAATATATCCAAAACTTTCCATAGGTTTGGCTTGAATCACCGGTGCTGTAGATGTGGATGGGGCCGGATCACTTGTAGAGGTTTCCATTGTCCTAAACTGTTTCGAGCACCAGTTATAGAGTCTATATATATTCTTTGGTTAACATACACCTTCGAAGACGAAGTAACGAATTCTCGCTGTACCTTTAACATTAAATACTGCAGAAGGAAGGTTTAAATAACCTTTTTATTTAACTAAATTAAAACAGATGCACGCACTTCGTGCTCACAAATCACCACCACTTGTGGCTACGTAATCCGCAAGGTGTCGACACCGAACTAGAGAGCTAATTTTAAACTCGCAGCATAAACATCGCAACTACGTAAGTCCGTTACTACTCTTTTGAACTCTTGAAACGCAGCTTATATATTGCTTCTGAAACACGTTTAAAAATTTGCATCTACATCATACAAAATTTGCATTTCGGCAGGAAAACGGAAATCAGGAGGGACAGTAAAGTTGAACTAAAAATAATTGGTTAGGCTATAATAAATCCTTACAAATCTAACAATAAATATCGAACAGTATTTAATATTAATTTATTGGTGTTCTAAAAAGAATATTCTTTATCATTGTAGCGCGGAATTCTCTCAACTTTCTTAGATTGTACACTACATACGTTGTACATATAAGTTAGTTATTAATGATTCAGCTATTTAATTTAGTGAACTTCTATATATTGATTAAAAATGTAAATTTTGACCTTACGGTATAGTGCCCACCAGCAGCCGAGCGGTAAAATCACTGAACACTGTTCGTTTCGTCCTGGAATCGATTCCCAGGGGAACGGCTGTTTGCATGGGCATTTTCGTGGTTTTTCGCATGTGTTACGTATATACAAACCAGTTTCCCTTAGAAAGGCGCTACACGAAGGTATCCCTTCCCTTCGGCTAATGTGCTTTGCCATAATAAATTTAATCAAGCCTAACCTGACGGTGCTTAAATATTCAATGATAGATAAAAAAAACTTATATTTATTTAAAGAGTAATGAAGGACTTTTACTCTATTCTAATATTTTAGGCTCAATTATTAATAATTTTATATATATATTATGTTAATAAAAGCTAATATTTTAGCAACTGTGTAACTGACCACTTTATTAAAAAATCTGATGTGTACACCACATGACTTCCTTGTACGGAATATTAAATTATATGCATTTTTTCTTGCATTTCATTTAAACTTATTGGATTGAATTAAACCTACTTCGCCGACAGCGCATAAACCACAATAGAATAAATGCATTCTTTAAAATTCACTCTATTTGTTTACCATAGCGACACTCTGACGCTATGTTCACTTAGCAGTATTATATTTCGTTCATATTATAACTCAGAATGCACAAAATTTATATCATTTAAAGAATTATCTAATCGTTGCCACATGTTCTATTCAAATACTATAATAAAGCTAGAACGATGTATAAAAGAAATTAAACAAACAAAACAAAAAAGAAAACAGTTTTTCACAGACGATTGAGTATTTCTCATTCAATTAATTCAGTTCTCACTTCGCAACAAGGCAAAAATACATAAAAACTCAAAATATCTGTATTAAAAATTACGAAGTAACTCTTAAACACTTATTCCTCGAAAAAATTCCAGAAAGGATTAAGCATGATTTAATTCACAATAATAAATGGAGACGTTATCTTTGTTGTTGCGAAGCTAAGTTTCTCTAAATTGGCAACAAATCCACTATCCTGCAGTTTTTCAAATGTAAACAAGCAATGGCCGCGATTAAAAAAAAATATTAGGCTTAGCGGCACTTAAACAGCTTTCAAATTGTTGATAATTCTAAAATATTGCATACAGATTTACTAAAGGCATAAAAACCTTAACCGGAAAATAAGAACAACATAATTCAATCATTTTTAAAGCAAAAAATGTACAATTTACAAACATATAAGAGTAAAGAATATATATATGTTTGGTGCGGTTGATTGCTACCAAAATACGAGGTGCACATCTACATGTTATAGCAGTCCTATATGCAAAATTTCAACGTTCTGAGGCTACTCGTTTTTATACGTTCGTACAGACGCCACGAAAAATTCTCTTCAGAATACATTTTAAAGCAGTTTTGTAATTTTTTTGAGGAAAAGAGTATTTTATTCTGTCCTCACGTACAGATATCACGCAAAAACCTCGTTAAATTGCATTCGATAGCGGTCAAAATGGATATTTTCGTTGAAATTATGCTGTTTGAAACTTTTCGCGATTACAATACTTCCTTTTTACTTCGTACAAGGAAGTAAAAAGTGGACCGTATTTCACTTTCACATGAAATAAGTTTAAATGAAGTGCAGCAAAAAATGTATAATTTAATAGCCGTACAAGGAAGTCGTGTGGTGTTTGTTCAGATCAGATTTTTTTAAATAAGCATCCCAGTCGGGACATGCTCTTTATTAAGGTGTGCATAAAGTAATGAGGTAAATAATTAAATGCTAACAACTTATGCAGTCATAGCCGGCAGATATGCTTTCTTATTCTTGGTATAATATTCATGAAAGCTAAAGGGACGCAAGATGACCACCTGTCACTCCGTATTTATATGCATACATTCACATATTCATAGCATTAAACGGATGTTGAAGAGAAGCGGAAGTGAGATGTTAGATGTAAAGAGACAAGTGAGAACAGCAAAGATAATGCTATCGTCATTAGACTGAGAATCATATAGTCACTATCCTAGCACAGGGACATATACTATTCGTTTGGGATTAAGTTTCGATTTAATTTTAAATGGAAAAAAGAATTTACCTTCATTTTCGCCATTATGTAAGTATGTGCATTATCAACATTAAAAAGAATCACATGACAGGGATTCATTTTGAAATGACGCAATTCCGATAGATTTATTTTAAACATTTTACGAATTTTAGGACAAAATGGAAAAATAGACAAATTAAAAAAATAGACTTACGTTTCTACTAAAATTTAAGATTAGAATTTTGTTTTACATATTCCTTATGTTATGCAGTCACATGTATTTGTAAGATAAAGTTCTTGTAGTAGCTTCTTGGTACTTTTTTTTTTTTTAACTTTCTTTATTTCTCTTTTCTATACAAAAATAGTAATATGCTTATATAAGTCTCATTCTAAATGCATCATTACAAAATGAATCCTTGTCATACCTTCATGCTTCTTACGTAACCTTCATGATACATGCATTAATATAATGCAGAAAGGTAATAATAATAATAATACATACATACACCTTTATAGCAATAGAGTTAAAATGGAATCATAACTTCACTATCCCTAATCTAGCATTTTTTGTAATCCACGCTCACCTTTCTTTCTTGCCAATGCTTCATGAACATGTTGTTTATAGCTTCCTTTGTTTAGTGCCAATATTTAAATACTGTAAAAAAAGTAAAACATTTGCTTGTCACTATTGGACAGTGTGTGTACGTTTCTCAGGACGTATACTATTTCAGCATGTGAATAGTGCTTGAATGATGATTTTCTGTTTCGACTCTCATGTTTAGGCTAGAGTCTAATAAGAGTGGTGGAAGTTCTTAATTACTTTTTATGTGTTCTAAAATAGTTTTTTCCAACTACATCTTAATTGATTGGATTATCTAATTGAAGGTAAACATTTTGATTTAAAATTTTTCGCTGAACTATTTTGTTTTTTCACTTTTGTTTTCAATTCTTTTGAAAGGATAGAATTCTCTTTATTTAAGCTTATTCTAATTTTTCTAAATAGAATTTACTTTGTGTTTGACTTGCTTTGGGGAAGCGCCAGAATTTTCAGGTGAGCTATTATAATTATACTTAAAATACATTGAAATGGTTCATCGGCTAATTCTGGATACAGAAAAGCAAGGAGTTTTGTAGGAGAGAGATTTCAATTAATTTCAAAGTTTCTCCCTCCCTGATGAGGTGACATTGAGGATAATTGAATTCCTCTTCTGTTTTTGTTCATTTTGCACCAAATTTCATAAAAGTTTTTTGAAGTGGGGTTATGCTTGTTTGAACTGTTTTGGGTTTAACATTTAAAATTCTAGGTTACATTTATATGATTATTTGAAATTTATTAATTATGAATTTCAGTTTCTGGTCTTTGTGAAATATTAGTTGTAAATTTCTTACTTTATGTATTTATTTATATATATGATTTTCAATATGTTTCTTGTAAAATTTTTTTTTCCTTTCAGGCGTACCAGGACTGGGTGAAGAATCACATTAAGGAACTGCCCCTGCCTGCCATACCTCTCACCAACAATCAGCTCTTCTTTATCGGATTCGCCCAAGTTTGGTGTTCCACAAGCACGCCGGAAGCTACTCATCTGCAGATCCTGAACGACCCGCACAGTCCCGCAAAATTCAGGTAAGAAAGACACTCAATGTTTAGCGATGTACAAAACCTTCTAGTCCAAATTTCAAAGAATCCATTCATCAAATGCCACGGGATGGAGCTCATTTCTCAGTTACGTTAATGTTTTTGTGTTTGCAGGGTGATTGGAACTGTCTCCAACTCGATGGACTTTGCCCGAGAGTTCAACTGTCCAGCCAAAAGTGCCATGAACCCAGAGAAAAAGTGCGAAGTTTGGTGATCGGAGTGTCGCTCCGGCCTGCCATGGTGAGTAAAGTAACTTCTTTCTAACCTCACTCTTACATAATTACTAACACATCAGAGAAATTATTTTCATCTTCTGTTAGCAAGACAATCCAGGATGGGCCATGGTCATTACTTTCATTAGAATCATCTTTCATTCCTCTCTCCATTTGGCCAGTATTTTCCAATTTGTAATTTAAATGATTTTAAAGTCATTGCCGAAGCAGTCTAACTTATCGTTTCCTGGGCCTTCCTGTGATTCGTTTTCACATAGGTTTGCAGTCAAAACTTTTAAATGTTATGGAAGAAGAATTCGTTCGGAAAATATGACAATAGATTTCATAACGGCGAATTTTAATATCAGTTTCTTTATATAATTTTATCATGATATCGCTTTTTTATCCTATTGATGTAATTCGTTGTTATATCCTTGAAGCCACAAGCCGTCAATGTTACAGCATCAAAGATTTTTCTTAAGATCTTTCCAGAGAAATAGCTATGTTGTATATTAGTTAAAGTACCTTAGTCCTTTTACGTTTAGTCCAAGTATAGTCTTACATAAAAGTAGTATCCTATACTTTTTAAGTAATTTTGGTTGTAAAAAGAAGAAATGTTCAGAAAATCACGAATATACGTATAAAAACGAAATGTATACCCCAAACCTATACGTATACCCATCCCCTTATCCGGCTTAAAAATCCTTTCCCGGCCTTTACTTTCGCAATCATTGGCCACAATCATTTACTTCCAATTATAGGAGTGTTTTAAATGACGAAAATAGTCATGTTTTAGCAATGCCAAATTAAAAAAAAAAAATTATTTTTCGATAAATAGCGAAATTTTAACTTTGAATGCAATCTCCATGTTTATATACTTATATTCGACTCTCGTATGACAAAAATTAACCAGGATATTTGATTTCAAAATTTGCAGTGTTAAATGTCTTTTTTAACTTGCCTTGAGGGATCGGTTGAAGTTAAAATTTTTCGAGGAAATAAGTTTAATGAAGTGAAGCAAAGAAATTATATAATTTAATAAGGCCGTACGAGGAAGTCATGGGGGGTTCTCGTCATATTTTTTCTAAGAAGAGAAGCAAAATGTTTGTATGGCTCTTACTTATTTTTTAATTCTCTCTCTCTCTCTCTCTCTCTTTTTTTTTTTTTTTTGTGTGTGTGGGGGGGGATGTAGGTAAACGATAATATAAGGTTTCTACAATATCACTTTGAAACGTAACGGGAAATACAACAGCAAGGTTTTAGAATTTAAATTGTTTTTGAGAGAATTTTTACTATATTCAACAATAAATATTTGATTTTAAAACGTAATAAATTTTATTCCCTAAGGAGATAAGCAAAATACTTTTATTACTTTTTATGCTAGTTTTAATTTTTTTTAAAATAATTTTAATGGTCAACTCTACTAGTACTAGTTTGTTTTAGAATTTAAGCGATAGGATATATATATATGTAACAGAGAGCATAATCTATAATTGATAAGAAAGTTATTTTTTTCTGCAATTGTCAGATTGAGAGTTACTTTTATTAAACTTAACCTTGTAAGCGTCAGATTGAAGGCTAATGTTTTTAGACTTTAATCAGCAATCGCGAGACTAAGAGTTAATTTTTATTAAACTTGAATGAATTTAAGAATCTGAAGTCCTGAAATTAAAAACTATTTTTTTTTTTAGACTTCTGCAATCATGAGACTAAGAGTTTTGACATTAAACTTGAATGAATAATCTTGAGATTAAGGACTAACTTTCTTAAATTTTAATCTCTAATCGTCAGTCAGATCGAAAATTAATTTGTTTAGACTCTAATCTATAGTCATCAGATTAATAACTAATTTTTAGACGTTAATCTGTAGTCGTAGACATTAATCTAAAGTCGTAAACATTAATCTGTAGTAAAGATAACTTGTTTTTTATCTTTCAGGTTAAATGATGAAAATAGACTAAATCTTCCAATTCGAGCTTTCGAATTCGCCGTCAATTCGTCTCCGCTGGAAGATCCAACTCGAGTCCTAGGAAGACGAAAAATATGTTCCAAACTCCCCCTCTTCATCACTGTCCTCTTCACTCTTAAGGAGCCATCTTGTAGAGACGGGTGATATTTGTGAAAAACGGATTCCTGTTCCTTAATGTTGGTCTTTGACCAAGATTGCGCTGAAAACGAGACTGACTCGGAATTCTGCACCAAAAGAGACCAACTGCGAAGACAGCCTCTTTATCCACCAGAAATTTTTGGAGGAAAAGTCAGTGTTGTGCTTTTCTAAATCAAATTGTTTTTCTATTTGTAGCTATGCTCCAAACGGTTTCGCAGAGTGACTAAATCTGGAAAACACTATTTCTCGAGAAATGTGAAGAACCAAGTACTCGTCTGTCTCTGTGACCGTGAGCGAATATTTCCACGTTTGTTTTCTGTGGTGTTCTTCGAAGGTGGTTGTGTTAACAACTCACTTACTTCTGGCATATCCTACTTGCTTCGTTGTAGATCAGCGGTTCTTAAACTGTAGTCTTGGACTCCTTGGGTTCTGAAGGAAGTTTTGTTTTAAAACTTTGTTATTTACTATCATTATGAGAGCTATAATAAAAATATGACTTCAATTAATAGCTAAGGGCGCGGTAAAATGCAAGTCGTATGAAGGGGATCTGTGGACTGGAAAAGTTTACGAACCGCTGTAATAGATGGTACAAAAGTATTAGAAACATTCGTATATCTATATTTTTTGTCAAAACTCTATATTTCGCCGTGCGTAAAAAAAAAGTGAAAAGTCAAAAAATGATATTTTGTATACGTCCCAAATTCTTTACCTCTCAGTGTTGTTACTGACAGCAGTCTGACCATTGCAATGACACTGACATAAATATTCACTTTTGGACCAAACCCAGACATGAGGGGTGAATTCTCTACCGTAGTTTGTAGGTTAGAAACATCTTTTATTAATTATACTGATGCTTCAAATGTCAGTTATAAATCATGAATTATCAGTTGGCCTTGCTCTAAATTAAATTATCAGTTGTAAAATAATGCTGTAAATGTCAGTTACCTATAATAAATTATGAGTTACCGATATGCTGAAATTTTAAAAGTCTTACTAACTTTAATTAAAAATAGTGAGTATAATGAATAAATTTATTATATTTATTATTCTCATTGATTATAATGGCAGTTAGTTATCACACTCTAAAGGCTTGATTATAAAGCTGTAACAATTATTATCCCTATGATCATTCTCATTGGCTATACAGTTACTTACCGGTATTTTACAAGTTCATGGTCGCTGGCGTGGAGCGTCACAAAAAATTTCGACAATTCACTAATATAAAATAAAGTAACTAAGAACTACTTAGTTACCATTAAATTCATTATACATGAAAATTTCTGCTAGCTCCCAGTCTATCCGATTTCTAGGTGGATGTGTATTAGAAGAAAAGAAGTCAAGGTATAAAATGGAAGGGTCATTTTGAAATTATAATTAAAAAAAGATACTACTTATTTATGACATTTTAGGAAACATTGAAATTTCACGACCAAACCAATAACGCTGGGAAGGGTAAGGCCATTGCTCGTGGGTGACTTGCGGATACAGCGCAGTATTTCGGTCACCTTATGACGTGACAGTTACTCGTGGATGGCAGTGCAGTATTTCATTCAGCGGAAACATTGATTTAAATGTATGGCTGTTAAACGTATGTTGGCGTAACGTTACGTAACGTAAACAGCTCAGATAAGAACGTTTCTAATACTAGTAGGCAAGAAAGCTACTACTTTCGCATCGTAAACAGAAATATCGGTTTTACTTCTACAATAAACAGCATTATTTGAAATTAAATTCCTTAAAACTTTAAACTTCGCCTCTATTTTGCTGTGTAGTCATTGTCAAGGTTTGCTCATCTCGATCGAGATCATTTGAGGAATTTTACTTCTTTGAGTCGTAAGTCTTCTAAAAAAATAATTGTGTTTCTGTTTCTCCCACTTCTGTGAGTACAGTGGCGTCATTGAGCAGATAGATAATATACGTTACTCTTCTGGAGCAACTGAAAGAGTAAGTTTTAACCTTGAAAGAGCATAACCTTGTCTATCGACTGACCTTGGTTGGTATAAAACCGCTTCGTTATATACGTACCTTATGTGTCTTAGATATTGCTGATTTAGCGGCGTCGTAAGTTTCTATGCACTAGCGTGGTCAGACTGTAAGTTTGTATTTTCTTTTTCCGAAGTACAGTTTTTCATTTCTTTGTGTGAGCTTAAGTGTATTTGACTTTAAGCGATTAGTGAGCCCTGAAATCTCTTTGAGAACCGACCTCACTACTGTTTTCTCTGTACATTGTTTCGTTACGTTGTCCGTGTATATTGCAGTACAACAATTATCCAGGGACCGATTAAGACAGTCTGGAAATGTAGTACAGTACTTTTCGCCCTCTTTCTTGTTTTTATGAGAGAAAAGAAAAAATATGTTATTTCCCTCTGTATGAGGGTTTGAAAAAAAAGGAAATAGCTTAAGTGACATTTATTTGTTAACACTAATAGCAGTCATGCACTATAGTCTGTTACTTCAGAATAGGCACATCAAGGCCATTTCTGTCCCTTTCCCAAAGCATGACTCGTAACCTTGTTAACGACTGCTGCGGAAAAAGGTAGAAATCCAGTAATTTGCTAAAATCTCCTAATTCTCTCTGCTCGGTGATGACGATGTACATTACAATCGTATATGAGGGAAGGGTCGCTACAGCCTTCAAGTGCCTGTTTTAAAGTAACAGACTATGGTAAGTTTGAATTTAGAAATCCTAACAGTTCTATATTCTATAGTATACGCTTAAGAGAAACCGCTTTTATGAATTTGAAATAACCTTGTAAACGTTTTTAGAACTGACCAGTTGGGAATATTATAAATGAAATAGTATGCGGGGTTATGACAAAAGAAGCACAATCAACTCCATATTAACCATGCCCCATGGGATAACTGATGATTTGGGAGTCCTTTTTTTTTTTTTTTTTTTTTTTTTATCCACAACACTAGTTAATTTAATCGTACGTAATCCTAAATACATAAACATTTTTGCAATAAAAATTTAAAAAGCTTTACACGACATTTTTATGCGAATTAGAAATCAATGCCATTATTCAAGTTCTTTTGTAAATGTTTTTAACGCTATTTTTACATTAGTTTCTTCATTTCGAATGCTGTTTATTTATTTATTTTTGTTTGTTTGCTATAAACAATGTCTTGCTTTTGTTTTGAATTCACTGATTTAATTTGCGTAACCCAATGATTTATTCTGCAGATTAAATTGTTTGAAAATACAAGTGAAGTTTCAAAAACGTGCTTTTCTGTTAATTATAATATGAGCTATTTCTTACCCTGTGATTTTAACTGCCGTAATTTTGAAAATAATGGAGGACATCGTCCTCGGGATTAGCGGGTTAATCTGAAGTCGACTGTATTCTTGTTGTTTGTTTTATTCGCTGAACGCGATTTCGCTTAACGCATTTTAATTGTTGGATGAATTACTTACAAGAAGAAAGAAATTACCCCCCCCCCTTATGAAGAAGCTATGTAAAACTGGGGAAACTATGAAGTCGTCTGCTATATTCCACCTCTTGCCATACACCTCTTGTCCGTCTTTTAAGGGCGTAGTGAAATGTTTAGTAAAAAATTGGAACTACGTTTCTAATTTTTGTTAGTTACGGTTACCATTAGGTTGCTTGTGGACCAAAAATCGGATTTGTACTAAATGTTATCGGATGTCTGTTGCATTTTTCGATGTCGTATTATTTTTCGTGCATTACCATAAATGTTGCTTGTTGAAAATCCGCTTAGAATTTTAAGAAAATATTATGGAATTGTTTTTAGCGAAATTTTAATGAAAATTATGTTTAAGATAAAACAAAACCAGAGATTCTGAACCGACTTACGTAACATGTGGCGTTAGAAATTATTTTCATGATTTTCAATACTGCAGCAAATGTTCACAAAGATGGTCAGTTGGATATATTAATATTATTAAATATATATAAAACGATACAGAGTGTATATTTATTGAAATTGAAATAAAGCAAAACTGACCAGCATTGTAAACACTGCAGAAAACTATCAAGATGTACGTTTCTTACATTTTTGCTGTCTGTAGCAAAAAGCAGCTTAGCAGATTTATTAAACAAATGAAAAATAAATAAATCTGAAAAATAAATTGAAGATTTTAAATTCTTTCTTAAAGAAAATTATGAAAATCTTGTGTTTGGCGCGGTGGCAATAGTTGGGCTCGATTTATACAAGAGCAAAAGAGGTATATGCCCTGACTCCTTTAGGAGGTCTCCAAATTCTTCTAAAATGCTTTAAAATATGTAAAATTTTAACGTGCAAAATCAGCTGTGTTCTCGCTTGGATTCTATTTGTCAGCCGGATATGTTACTAGTTACACCACGCGAGTGTAACCATGAGGAAGGTTTGTTATAAAATCAATATGAATTCTTCAGGTTCAATTCTTTATTGCAGTTTTGTCCAACCGGGAAATCATCGTTTAAAATATATATATGAATTTCTATTTTACACAACATAAAATAATGTAAAGTCATGAAAATAAAAAATACAAAAAGTTTAGAAAAAAACTTAAATGAGAAAATAGTAAATTATTTGATTTATAATTTATTAAGTTTACTATGTAGTAAATTAATATTATTAAGTTTACATCAGTAATGATTATTAGGTTTATGATAAGTAAATTATTACATTATTAAGCAATAATGAGCTATTATCTTATGAGGTGCCTCCACTTTTGTAAATCCAGCCCTGCTTCCATTATTGCATGGGTAATAAATGCATGTGAATTAACATCGTTAGAGCCTAAGGCTGCGTTCAGACGAAGGCGTAAATGTCTCAGAGGCATAGTCACAAGGAATAAAATGCGAGAGTTCCGTTCACACCTGTGACACAGGGTCTAATTGGGTGCCAATTAGAGAAGCTATATTTGCGCATGCGTGGTGGTGTCTACAGCTTTCCTGCTCTGTTTTCCCATTCATGTTTCGCTGACTGGTCGACGCTTATCCCAAGTTGGCATAAAGTTCAAAACTTCGACCTTTATGCTGAAAGCATTAAACCAGATTTTGTGACGTAAGTACAGACTGGTTGCCTGGCAACGCAGCTCGGCTTAAACTACTTATACCCTTTATACCGTCGTCTGAACGCAGCTTAACAATCTAAAATGTTTGGTGAATTCTGATAAAAACCATTCCAGGTGTCATAATTAAACATAAAGTAAACCTATGGGTTGACAGTCACTGGTGAATCGCAATGCAATGTTTCATGCAGTGACAATAGTTGCCAAGCGCGTTGATGAGTAATTCATAATTGCATAATTTAACGTAATAAGACAGGGCAAAAATTTTAGACAAATTCCGCTTAGAGAGTTTCTGATGCCAATATTTATTCAATTGTTTTTAACTCGCGAAACTAATTTTAATAAAAATTGTTTTAAGTCCCACCCCCCAAAAAAATAACAAAATAACGAGAAGAAGCCCACCATATCAGAAAAAAGCATTGATTCTCGAATTACGAACAATACAGTTCAAAACATTTGAGGAATTCACGTTACTATATTTACAGATGAAAACTTGTGCCTGAGTCTTTCGTTGAACAATGTTTAAATTAAGTGCCAGTTATTATTTGCATCCTCAAAAATTTAAAGTACTTAAATTAAAACAGAAATTAAATTTTACTTTATGTAACTCAAACAGAAATAAAATTCTACTTTATGTACCTCAGTCATGAATAATTTAACCTTTTCGTTATATATATATTATTGTTACGTAGTATTTACAATACTTTATACCGTATATGTAAATATTATATATTTTAATGTTATGTGGTATTCATAATGCGTAATGAAAATATTGTTTCACTTATTTTCATTCTTAATTGTAAATTCCATAACCTCTGACGAGGTAGCTAACATCTTATTCACAATAATCCTATTGTTCAGAAATGTTGTAGTTTTCATTATTGTTTTTTACGTCTATATCCTAAACACCTACCGTATTTACTCCTGCCTTTTTTTCCTTTCCACTATTATTAAAGTACAATTTGGAA